GCAAATGAGGAAGCAAAGGGATTGTCAGTGGTCAGAAATGAATGCAAGCATTACTGATAGAATAGGGCTATTATATGTATAATGTAAATGCATTGCTAATGATTTTACTATAGGAATGCATTGCAAATGAGGAAGAAAGGGATTGTCAGTGGTCAGGAATGAATGCAAGCATTACTGACAAAATAGGGCTTTTATATGTATAATTTAAATACGTTGCTCATGGTTTTACTGTAGGAATGCATTGCACTAGTTTAGAAGGAAACAAGGAAACCACTCTACTATCTTTCCCAAGAATGCATGGCAATTTACAGATAATTAAGGAAAGGAAGTTGTGGAGAGCCATGATAGTTTTCGGCTTGATGGGACATGGCATCTAAAAAAAGGGAACTAGTTTAGGAGTAGGAAACAGGGAAACCACTCTACTATTTTTCCCAAGAAGTCATGTTAATTAACAGATAATAAAGGAAAGGAAGCTGCTGTGGAGAGCCATGATCCCTTCCGTCCTGAAAGAACATGGCCCCCGGAAATTCAAATAGGAAGACCGTGAAATTTTCACGGGTTAAAACTAATAATAATAATATTAATAATAATCTCAGTGGTAATAAAATGCTGGTTTGGTGTCTGGTGGGAGATAGCCGCATCTCATGAGTAGAAGGCACACTATACAGTGGTAAAAATAAGTATAAGACACCCCATGAAATTGTTAATAATTTTCTTATTATTGCACAGATTCCTCTGATTATTTCTGTGTGGTACCTAGATCCGATGTTATTAGTATACATATTCGATTTTATAACAACTTTCCACCAAAAAAAATTAAGAAAAATACGTTTTCGAGCATTGAATCAATAAGTTTTCTGAGAGTTTTAGATGAAATTACATTCCAATACTGTTTAATGCAAGATTTTAATGCATCTCTATCTTCAAAATGACGTTTATTTTTATATTTAAAACTTCAATATTTTTTGTTTTAAACCAGTTTTTCATGAGCTTAAAAGTGTGTATGGCTTTGTTGTCCTGTTGAAAAATGGAATTATTGGTGTCTAGATGATTCATAAATGGGACAAGACGTTTTGCCAACACATTAATATATTGAGCAGAGTTTTGTTTCACTTCCATTACTAAAACATCAGCCTTTCCAGACACAGCTCCCCAAACCATAATAGATCCTCCTCCTCCAAATGGTCTTTTTGAAAACAGCTGCTTCTCCTTTCTTAAATCATGCCATTAACATTGGTAGCCGTCGGGCCCATCCAAATTAAACCTTTTCTCATCAGAAAACATCACGGTTTCCCATTTCTCCTTTGTCCATGTTACTTTTTTCTTTACCCAATCTACGCTCATCTTCTTGTGTTTAGCAGTTAGAGCAGGGGCTGTCTTCCTGTTTCAATACACGAGATTTGGTGATTCACAGAGAAGTTGACGAACTCTTCTTAGAGTGATGGGTAAATTCTGAGATTTTTTGTAGATCTCTTGAGCTTGATTGTCTTTTCTTGAAAAAGTCGACGTCTGGCTGCATTTGTAAATTTAGGTGGACAATAGGTGGACAGTTTTCTGGTGCAATACGATTCATGGTCCTTTATATAATTCTCACAACTGTTCGGGACCTCAATAGTTCTCTTGCAATGAAACTTATAGATTTTCCTGCCAGTTTATAGGCAGAAATTTTCCCTTTTTTTCATTTTCATTAAGGGTTGAGTTCCTAGATAATTTTGCAGTAATTGTATTCAACTATGAAATGTTTAAATAGGACTCACGTGGCTTAAAATAATGATAAGAGTCTTTTTTATAATCTGCTCATGTACTTATTCTTCCTATGGTATTCTGAAGTAAACCAGATATGCAAATTTTCAAAAGTGTCTTATAATTATTTCCCCACCCTCGAAACCGAAGTTTTGTTAAAAAAAATTTTTGGGTGGAAAGTTTTTATAAAATCGAATAAGTATTCTAATACTCATTTCATCTAGGTACCACACACAAATTTTAAGTAATAAGAAAATATATATATATAATAAAAATTTTTATATATATATATATATATATATATATATAATTATTTTTTATAAAAAAAAATTTATAACATAAATATGTTATAAAATCACTACAAAAATAGCCATTTTGTTTCAACTCCCTCGGTGTCTTATCAAGTGATGATGTTGAAGATAAAATAAATGGTTTTAAAAGTTTCAAATTAATTAACGATGCTTCGCTAGAGGAAAACATTGTTACAAATTGACCAATCAATAATTCCGTATATACCAATTATATATATATATATATATATATATATATATATATATATATATAATAAGAAAATTTATTAACAATTTCATGGGCTGTCTTATACTTATTTCCATCACCGTAGTCATGGATGGGCATCTATCTAAATATGGTGTCTAAAAAAAATGACACATTAAAACGAAAGCAAAACAACAACAACAACACTAGTAATAATAATAATAATAATAATAATAATAATAATAATAGTAATAATAGGCATTCCCTGCAGACTGTAATGTATCTTTGAAGATGGTCAAACAATTGTCAAAGTACAAGAACCTTAAAATCGAAATCTCAGAAATGTGGCACGTGAGGACAACAACCAATTCCAGCTGTAGTTGGTGTCCTCGGATTGATTGGAAAAAAAAGGTTCCGATATATTTCATTGAAGGGATCCCTTGTAGCCCAAGCCTTAAAGAAACCCCCCACTCATCCCCCACAAAAAATGTACTCACGAATACAGATCAAACCTTACGAAGGACTTTATCTATGTAAAACGTGCGTGGTATATTAGCTTTTCTTTCTTTCTTTTTTTTTTTACCAAAAAATGGTCAGTGGAAAATGTCATGATGCCTTTTCTAACCTTAGATCTCTGGTTGGGACCTAGAAAGAAATGAGTATACAACAGAAATCTAAGGAAATCAAATAATAATAATAATAATAACAGCACCTACAACAACAACAACAACAATAACAACAATAATAATAATAGTAATAATAATAATAATATGACGAACGTGAAAAGGAAAAAAACAAAAAAAACAAATAAGTAATGAAAAAATGAAAATATGAAACAGCGAAGCAAAAATGGATGAAAGATTTTCCACAATATCGTCCGGTCATATGCTTTCTTTGAAATGCGGCTAAAAATCCGAGAATATTATTAACTGGATCTGTCTATGAAGGGGCACAATTTAACCCGAAGGACTCCATGACAAATGCGTTCATGCTGCTAAGGCTGATTTTACCGGTAATTCTTTTTGCTGGCTGTTCACTGAAGCATACATATACGCAGAACGATTTTTTATTTTTTGGTGGAAGCCATTTTGTCTTCTTTTTGTTTCCTGACATGCGTAATGGTTTCCCTTGAATTATTATTAATCTTTTCATGTGTGCTTCATAACTTCATTCATTTATTTACATGAACGTGGATAAAATGTATAGCTTCGTTGCTATACGCATGCGCATAACGCACGCGTAAAACGCATGCGTATAAAGGATACGTATAGCAATAATTAAACGCCTGTAGAATGAATTTGACTGGAAGTGCGAGTTAATCGGCACGGAATCCGCGAAACAAACTCGAAATCCAGTTAGGAAGGCTTGTATTTATTTGGCACCAAAACTTTCAGCAAAGGCACGAATCTATTTTTTCTCAAACTAGCTATAAATGAAATACTACGACACTGCGTAATTTATTAGGAATTAATGAACTTTAATCCAAAATTCGACATTATTTCTTATTTTTTATATTTTTTTAATCGGTGACACCTAATGCAAGGCAATAAAGCCACTAAGACACAAGGGGTTACAGGATGTGGAAGGGTTAGGAAGAGAAACATTAATAATGAGCGGGAAGAAAGAAAAGCTCAATCAGGAGGACTGAAGATAGCGACTGACATTGTATTTAAATTTTTGCAGATTAAAGTTGGCTGGAAAACATGGAGCCAGAAGGGAGTTCTACAAGCGAGAGAAACTGTTAGCATGGAACTTACGGTTACATCTCGCCAGTTTAACTGTAAATTGATGAGACCTCAACGCTAGTCTAGTAGTGCGCCTTTAAAAAAGGTCTAGATACCACATCGACGAGCTCATCCGAATAATTACCATGAAATTATTTATGGAAAAGCTACAGAGAAGAAACCTGATGATGGAGGAAAAGTGACTGAAGCCGAGCCTCCAGATCAGGACCAATAATATTGCTGATTCTTTGGATTTTATTTCCGCGTAAGTGAAAATTGTTAGACATTTGGACGGTCGTCTTCCAGTATAGAACCCAGAGGTTAGCACTGAATATTTAGGAGACAGTAGGAAAGTGTAGTTCAGGTTAGCAGTGGATATCGCAGCAAAGTAGCAGAGCGTAGTACTTCCTTCTGTCATCTTCGCCTGACAAGTTGGCACTGGTCATTCGGGAAGGGTAAACAAAAATGGCCGCCTTTATACAGGACGGATAGAATGTTCTGCGGCTTCTGATTCGTTAACCTTCTATTGGTAGGCTATAAAGCGAGTCAAGGCATTTTAACTGGCTCACTAGTTATATAACATATACACAAAAAAAATGTAACAAAAATAACGAATCCGAACTTGGTTCTCTGATTAAAAATTCCAAAACATTATCGATTATACCAAGCGCACATCTATGCGTATAGTACCTGATGTACCCAAGCGGTCAGCCATCTAAATATTAACTAGACTCGACGTTGTTTAACTCCAGGAACGGCTGTTTCGACGTGATATGGCAGTAAGCTTCATAAAAGGAGATATGGAACATCTCAACGCTAGTATACTTGTTCCGACTAATCTAGGATTCGATATTATCTGTTTGGTTGGTGAGTGTGGGCGTGTGACAGTAAAATCATGCGAATTTGAACGCTAATACGCCAAATATGGCTATAGATCTGTACCATTTCCGGTGAAATCAGTTAGGAAGAAATTCCGATATTTCAATCGATATAGGAATAAATGTAAAAACGGATTAGTATTTATAAATATTTGTAGAGATTCTTAACTACATCTATCTATCTATCTATCTATCTATCTATCTATCTATCTATCTATCTATCTATCTGTTTCAGTTTATTCATATCTATCTATCTATCTATCTATCTATCTATCTATCTATCTATCTATCTGTTTTAATCTATCTATCTATCTATCTATTTCAGTTTATTCACATCTATCTGTTTCAATTTATTCATATCTATCTATCTATCTATCTATCTTTTTCAATTTATTCATCTATCTCTCTCTATCAATTTCAGTCTGTTCCTTATCTATCTATCTATCTATCTATCTATCTATCTATCAGTTTTATTCTATCTATCTATCAGTTTTATTCTATCTATCTATCTATCTATCTATCTATCTATCTATCTATCTCATTCATTTCCTTATCTATCTATCCGTTTCAATTTATTCATCTCTCTCTATATATCTATATATCAATTTCAATCTTTTCCTTATCTATCTATCTATCTGAGTTTTTTTCCAGTCTATATAAAGAAGGAAACGTCATATCACTATAGACATGTTGATGTGCTGAGCAATACAATTTTACACATTAACACTTTTTTGCTATTAACTGTTACACGCATGGCAAGACATTAAAAATCTCAAACACAACGGCATCCAATTTGTTTTATTTTCATCCTTTTTTTTTCTTTCATTTTTCATGCCAGCTAGCAATTTGCACGAATTAGGTTAACAAATGATAAGTAGGCGTATTTTATAATGCTCTTTGCCGAGGTACAGTGAAAGCGAGATGACGAAGAATGCCGGGAAGGATAACTGAAGGTAGCCATTAAATAGTAGCAACGATAACTTCTTCTTCTGTTACTACTACTACTACTAGTAGTAGTAATAATAATAATAATAATAATAATAAGTATATGAAGTAGAAGAAGACAAGAAATCTTGCGTGTTCTATTTTAATAAAAGTTTCAGATCATTTCCCGATATTGTGACGAAGAAATCAATGTCGCCATTTTGAAGTTAAAGGAAATTAAACGTGGTTTGGCACAAGATCAAGAGAAGTGAATAACATAGATGAAGTAAAAGTATTAGAACAAAACAGACAGTAGAAATGTCTGAGGGATGTGCTAAATTCAAGAGAAATGAGATGAAGAAATACTAAATTGCTTCATTTAAGAGACAACTTAAGACTATTAATGGAAAAGCAAGAGAAATAAAATGAAAGAAATACTAGTAAAAAATGAATAATAATTGACAAAGGCTTCATCTAAAAATTAAGACAACTTCAGACTATTACTACTTGGTGGAAAAGCAAGAGAAATAAGATGAAAGAAATACTAGTCAAAAATGAATAATAATTGACAAGGCTTCATCTAAGAAATTCAGAAAACTTAAGACTATTACTACTTGGTGGAAAAGCAAGAGAAATAAGATGAAAGAAATACTAGTCAAAAATGAATAATAATTGACAAGGCTTAATCTAAGAAATTCAGACAACTTAAGACTATTACTACTTGGTGGAAAAGCAAGAGAAATAAGATGAAAGAAATACTAGTCAAAAAATGAATAATAATTGACAAGGCTTCATCTAAGAAATTCAGACAACTTAAGACTATTACTACTTGGTGGAAAACAAGAGAAATAAGATGAAAAAATACTATTCAAAAATGAATAATAAACAAGGCTTCATCAATTCTTAAACTATTACTACTTGGTGGAAAAACAAGAGACAATCTAAAACTATTACTCAATCAGTTAAGTGCCATACGTGATACACATTTGGGCCATAATGGTTCTTTCCATTCCTGACAAATAAAGACATTTCTTTCTGTGATAGACTGTTGGCCAAGCAAGACTATAGGACAGTCTGTCCTGTTCAAGCTGTAGACATAAGTTTGGTTTGTACAAGAGTGCCAAAACTGTCAACATAATTTTGGTTTGGATAAAAGAGTCAAAAGTGTAGACATAAATTTTGGTTTGAACAAGAAAGTTAAAATTTGCCAGACATTTTGGCTAACCTGATGAATATTCATGAGCGCCTCTGTACAAAAAATATTGAAAAACCAATAACATAAGGGCCTGAATGTTCGATAATTTTCGTAGAAAATATGCTATATGACCCTTCCCTTTAGAGTTACAGGTTCGTTTCCTGCCAGAGACTGCATATTTTCTAGGAGATTTCTGGAACGTTCATGCCGGTAAATATAATTAATTTTGTTTATTTAAAAACAGAGTATTTACTTTAATAAATTATATCTTTAAAAATAACGTATAAACAGTACACACACACACACACACACACACACACATATATATATATATATATATTTAATGAAAAACAGACCACTTTAAGGTACCATTACAATAATTTATTTCACCAAAATCCTTTTTAAAGGACTCCGGATCATCAGGTAACAATTCCATCAACGAAATGAAAGGAAAAATGGGATTAGAAATTGATGGGTAGTGTAATTTTTGTAATTTAACAGAGGGGGGTGAGAGTTGTAGTTAAAGAGACAAGGTAGAGTATAGGGAGGGGTTAATTTCATATCTCTCTTAAGCATGCTTTATATTGGGGTAGGAGGAGTGACCGAACCATGACCTATTTAGATCTTCTTCTGTTTAATATATATTAAACAGAAGAAGATCTACATAGGGATATCGGCGGGAAATTGGAAGCAACGGTTTTATAACCATCGCCAATCCTTCACTAATAAATCAAAGAAACATCAAACTGCACTTTCTAAACATTATTGGGAGTTGTTGGAAAGCAAATTAACCCCACACGTAAAATGGAGAATCGTCTCGAGAGCTAGAACTCCGATAAACTTCAGAGACCGATGCAATTTGTGCATTATAGAAAAAATCTTAATAATCAAGCATAAGGATCCGGACATATTACTGAACAAACATAACGAGTTGATTTGTAAATGTAGACATAAAAACCACCTCAATTTAACAAAGTATGTTTAGAAACAACTATATAAAAAGGGAAAATATTAATTTTGTTTTTGAAATGAATGTATGAATACATGGATACTATACTTGTTAGTATGTACGCAGATGAACTTAGACATTTATATGTGAATTTATATATATATATATATATATATATATATATATATATATATATATATATATATGTATGAACATTATGGATAATGGTGCTTATGTGGATATATGTACTTTTTTAATTGTGGGCACATGTGTATGGAGGTATGTGTGTATATGTATAGGTATATATATATATATATATATATACATATGTGTGAGTTTAAATATATAAGTATGGGGTATGTTTAGGTACTAACGTTATTTTTGTGCTAGGTATCGTTATATATATATATGTGTGTGTATTTTACATATGTGTGGATGTATGTGTACAGATATGTATTTGTGGATGTGTGTAGATGTATGTGTATATGTATATTGTATGTATATGTACGGGTATATATGTTTATACGTGTATTTATATATGTGTAGTATTTTGAATATTAAATTACTTGTAATCTGTATATGTATATAGATGTATATACCTTAGAATTAATATTTGTAATATATGTGTGAATAGATGTATAACATTGTAATATAAATACATATACATGTGTGGATAGTTATGGGTAGAATTCTTTTCATATGCTTTTTTCTGTATATAATCGTGTGTGTATATGTAGGTATATGTATTTATGTATGTATGTGTGTGTATGTGTATATATATATGGTTGTATATGTATATAAGGGTGTGTATATGTATATGAGTATACCTATATGTATATATGTATATATATATATAGATAGATAGTTAGATAGATAGATAGATGAATAGATTGATAAATAGATATATAGATATATATATGTATGTATGTGTGTATACGTGTATGGAATATTTTTAAATGGAAGTACTTGGGTCATTCTAATGGTATTTAAAAATTACTCTTTTTAATATTTAATATCACTTTCTCTTTTAATGTTCTATAATTAGAATTTTGAGAGTGTATTTTTATCTTCTGAAGGGAGTTTCATTTTAAAATTGATAATTTAAATTTAAATATACCATTCTTTAACTATTAATAGTAATAATAATATTAACGAAATTCCTTTAATAATGAGGCACTTCAGAAGTCACCTAAAGTTAAACTTTAACTATAAAATCAAACTAAAATCTAAATAAATTTCAAATATTAAAATGTAGGTAATGATTGAGAAATGTATGTATATATAATTTATGTATGCAGATAGATGAACATTTGTGTATATTGTTACACGTGTGTCTATGTGTGTATTTACACATGTAAATAAACGTATGTATATATGGATTTGCATGAATATGTTTGTGAGATACATATAAGAAGAAAACAAAATCTTTAATATTACCCTAAAATATTATTAAATAATGAAACCTAAACCTTAATTAAGTTTACCCATATAATAATAAAGAAAAATTGCATTCATAAATTAGATTAAAAGTAAAATTAATATAGATGTTATTGTTAACGAAATTTTTTTACAATATTATGGAAGTACAATTGGTCGGGTAAATAAACTATTATAATTTTAAATATTTCTTTAATATGTTCTCGATAAATGTGCTAATAAAAATAGTAGTTAACTTATATTAAGTCCCTAAACTATTTACTTAAAAAATTAAATGTTTAAATTGATAACATTCATCATTTTTTTAGACATCTAAATTTCTATCAAGCATTGAAATCTATTTTTTACATAATTTTGTTAAAACAAAATTACAGCCTCTTTCGATTCACTTCCCTCTCCCCCTCTCTCTTTGCCGTAACACTCATTTGGATATATCTGTATTACTGTCGTCTGTCTCCTCTCTCTTTTCCATTTTTCCTTTCTTTTCTCCCCTCCTATTCCTATATATCATTTCCGTTAAGTTAACCATCTAAATAGATCAAGGTTCGGTCACTCCTCCTACCCCAATATAAAGCATGCTTAAGAGAGATATGAAATTAACCCCTCCCTATACTTTACCTTGTTTCTTTAACTACAACTCACCCCCACCTGTTAAATTACAAAAATTACACTACCCATCAATTTCTACTCCCATTTTTCCTTTCATTTCGTTGTTGGAATTGTCACCTGATGATCCGGAGTCCTTTAAAAAGGATTTTGGTGAAATAAATTATTGTAATGGTACCTTAAAATGGTTTGTTTTTCATTAAATATTAGCTCTGTATTCACATTGAGCTCTAAGGATTTCATCCTCCTTGGAATTACCCATTCGGTTTACCAAGTTCTTCGTAAATATATATATATATATATATATATATATATATATATATATATACTGTTTATATATATATACATATATATATATATATACACACACACACATATATATATATATATATATATATATATATATATATATATTATGAAATGGACAAAGTCCAACAATTATTATTTTTAAGACATTTCTTATATCTATACTTTCTTTATATAGATACAAATATTTAATGATTTAACAAAAAATAATTGTCGGACTTCGTCCATTTCATAATGTGTGACGTCATTTGTTTACATTTGGATACACATTGAGCAGATATGAATGTATGAAAGAAAATCATTGAGAATTGTGTTAAAAAAACAGTAAAACCGACCTTGCTAACCGAACTCCCCTCTGTGGCCCAATCAGTTAAGGCACGTCAAGCTATATGACGGTCCCGTATAGGATACAGGTTCGATTCCTCTCACAGGATGAATATTTTCTATTAAAATTTCTCGGACATTCAGAGAGGTAAATGGTGTTAATAATGTTTATTATAAACAGAGAATTTACTTAAATATTCGTATCTATAAAAAGAACTTATAAACATAGGACATGTTTTAAAAAATATATATATATATTGTGTGTGTATATATCTAAATATGTCTTGGTGCTTATGTATTATAATCTGAGTGTGTTTGTAATGTTTTACGTGAGAGGTTAGCACCCCACTCACACACTCGGGATTAAAATGTATACATTTTGTCAGGAAAACCAGCCGATATTAGCGT